CCCATTGACTAAAGTAAAGTTACGCAAGTGTGTAAGTGTTTGCAGAATCAGAGGCATTATTGTGGAAGATTCTGACTCACTCTTAAACTCTCTTTACAAATCAACAAGGTGTTCCTTTCCAAAGTTTATATTCAGGTTAAAAAAAAATTATGTGATGTAACAAGTTTAAATTCAGAGGGTTTTTTTAGTGAATATATGCCAATTAAATCATGGATCACACAGAAAACAATCCACTTTGTAACTACAAATAAGTGCTGTGATGGTGAAATATTTCCATTTGATTTGAAGAAAGGGGAAGTGTAGCTTCATGTGACTGGAGTAAGAGGTAAAGTTGGATTGAGTACATGCATGTTATGTATACATTCCAAACATTCATTCTCCAAAGTTTTATTTACCTTCTAGTGAAATTATTATATCTCTACTAATTGATTCTGGCTTCCTGCTAACAATTATCACTTATATTTGGACTTGTAGTCCTTAATAAAACCTTAGCAATTTGCACGATCTGCAAGACCAAAACAGGATTCCAAAGAAGAGAAAAGAAAAAGATAGAACAATGCTAAAGGTAAGTAGATTTAGTGAGAGGAAAAAGAACATTCAGACTTTAAAAAAGAAAAGAAAACAGTCCATTATTTGAGCACTTAGCCGGAGGGTGGGGAGGGTTCTACAAAGGAAATCTATCAGGAAGCCAGTGTGCAAGGAGGCTGTCAGTTTTGACCTGTGTTAACATTTCACTTCTCCCTTTTAGAATCATAGAGTCTATATCCCAGTCCTCAAATGTAGTAATGATGTGTGTTGACATTCAATCCTCAAACCATTGACCCTACAGTTAACTTTAAGGGATTGTGGCACATAGGAGAGAGTAGGATACTGCCAGTCTAACACCTCAGGATCATACTCCAGCAGGGCTATCGACCTCAGAAGTAATTACTGCTTCATTGCTATAACCCCATAAATAGTACTTCAGTTTCCTTGCTGGCATCTCCCAAGGAGTCTTTGCTTTGGTGACCCTATGTTTAGTCAGTGGGATCTGTGCATCATTGCAGGCCCCTTTAAGCCTTGCTTGTCTAGGAAATAGCATGGTGTTAGAAAATGTTTTAGCTAATGCGATATTAAACAAGATTGTCCCTTTCTGTGGTCTTGGACAGTTGTGATTGAAAATGTGTTTGCTGTTTGTGGTTATCCCTAGGATATCTGTCCACACTGCCAACAAAAGCATATTTGACATCATGTTAGTTTGAAAACATGTTTCTATTTCCTCGTATAGAGGAGGTCTTAATTTGAGCGTATCTGAGAAAATATGTCCAAAAAGTTCTTATGTTTAAATTTGTTTATTGATAATTGTTAGTTGAAATGAAGTTGGTTTCAATGTTGCTGTTTCTGATGGAAAAATAACAGCACATTTTCTTAAAATTGTTTTGAGATGCTCAGCATTGCTGTTGCTAATGAAATATTTATTAAGAGACATTTTCTTGTAGATGTCTTGTGTCCACTGGAGGCCATGCTATCTAACCTATGTATTGTCTTTAGCGGTATTTCTAATGTTTTTGAATTGTTGGTAAGACTCCCTCTGAAACTTCTGGCTTGTGCAATATTGTGGTCGTGTGTAGTCTACTTTTGAATAAGCTTTGGTTCCATTCAGCGAAGTTAGCTGTTTGATTTTTATCAAATAAAAAACAAATGCTGTTCACAGGTATTTTCTTACTTTGGTTGAAGACATTCTAGTCTTCCCAATTTGTTCCTTGTAAAAAAAGAAGTCACTAGTCCAGTTTCTGACTACACTAACTACAAGTTTCAATTGGCATTCAGGTTATGTAAACAGAAACGACTAGATCTTGGTTTGATCACTAATCATGTTTTTAATAGTCAATTCAGAGTTACAGTACTATTTTGGAGTCAGCTGTCATACTTGCGTAAGCTTTATTTACAATGTAAAAGGATTAGATTTGCAGTTAGCAAATTAAAATTAAAAGTCTAATAAACTGAGTTAGTCAAAACACCTTCATTTAAACCCAGCCTTTTGTATCTAAGTATCATGGAAAACATAACACTGTTGTGTGTACAGTTGGCCACTACAGAACTCGGGCAAAGTGGCGCAGTGGAGGGCTAAGTTTCATTAACTTTGAATTGCTTTGCTTTTGCTAAAGAATAACAAACATGAACTCTAATTTTATTTGAATATATTTTCTTCTGTGGTTGCCAAGAGCCAGAATGACTTGATGTGCACTAGCTTTTGATGCAAAATAGTGGTTTCTATGGTATGAAATCTGGAGATTCAGGTTTATAAGTAAATTTTGTAAATCAAGTAAAATAAAAATACTGTAAAATGTGAATTGTATACACCGCAAATGTAAATTGATACAGCCATACTACTTAAGTGTCACTTTATATGGCACTTTATTAGTGTCAAATTATTTTATTAAACAGTGAAAATAGCTAAATTTAATGGACAGTAATTATTCAAAGTATTACTACTTTCTCCTTTATGAAGATACTGTAATGCACATGCTTTCCCAGAAGATGAAAAATATACAGTTTTGACTTTTCATTGGCTAGAATTCCCCTTTCCTGTCACTAACTAATGTTTTCATGAACAGTTGGGTGCCCAGTTCTGATATAAATAAAATGCCAGCTATATGAGAGAGCAGTGAAGAAGCTAATGTCGCAAAGGTTACTCGCTCCAGGGAGAGAGGTAGCCTAAAAGACTGCATTGGATGGAAGCACGATTTTAAAAAAAAAGAAAAAATTGAGCTGATGGAAAAACAGAACCTTATATAAAATGCAGACCACTGAATGAATGGGACAGTAAATGCTGGCATTTTCCTAATAGTTCCTCAATTTGTAAAGAGCCTCACTTGCTTATGGGAGTGGGAGTCCTCATTGGTGCACACATGAGCTCTCACTAATTTGCAGATAAGGGATCAAAACAGCTATATTTTATCAAACAATCTTGTAATAGGTAGTAAAGTTGTGTAAATGCAATACTGAGAATCAAGTAAAATTAAACCACATTCTGCTGTTCTTCTTTAGAAACATTCCTGCGTAAATACTGCAGTAATACTGTCATGCAGAGTGTATCCTTTCTTGTTGTATCCTTTTTTGTGCAATGTTTTCCATAGCACTCAAATACCTCCAAGTTCTCTTTTAGTGTAGGTGCGGGGAGGAATTTATACTCTTTTTACAATTTTGTAAATCTCTGTTAAAATAAGTAAGATACTTTAAAATTATAAAGGGGACTTTTTCAGGGAGAAAGCTAGTGAATCCGGTCACTTATTTACTTAGAGGGACACCATGAATGTTTCTAGTCTCAAAATGTGACCTTTCCTCCCTGTTCCTTCTCTAAATCCATATAATTCTTTATTTTATGGGCCAGATCCTGAACTGGTGTAAATTGGCCTTGTTCCATTGACTTCAGTGGCGCTATGCTGACTTACATCAGCTGATGAGCTGGCCCTAGATGTTCCTTTTTAAAAAATAGCAACACCGCACTGTGTTAGAATGTTTCAGTTTTGATGGGGTGGTTATAAGTAGAAAACAATCCTTGACGTTGTCTTTTTAAGTAATACATTCATTTAATGACAGCTTGTGTCCCAGTTTATGGGACGCAACCTGCACTTAGTTTCTCTTGTAACTTTTTCCCTTTTTTAGACTAGAGAACAGAAAATCTAGCAATGTCTCATAATGAAGTAATGAAGACTGAAGCTAAACTTTATTCATTGCTACCTTTGTTTCCTACTTTCTGGTAGTGTTTTATGGCAACTAATCTATAATTTTCCTGGGGGTTTTGTATTACAGCATTCTGTGATTAACCTTACTTTTTTTAAGTTTAATATAAACTAATACATGCTGTATGTAGTAAGCCAAATTTAGCTGGCTCAGACATGATTCACTAATTTTCTATATCTTAAGATCTTTCAACTTTCCAGTTAAGCTTCTGACAACTGAACACAGTAATTTTCCAGTCATTTATACTTTTAACATGCCTTTATAATGTTCCAGGTTCCTTTTGTGTTCCATCTCTTTCAAGTGTTACCAAGCCATGGGAAGAAGCAATGTGATCAACAGGACTGTTGAACAGTGCGTAGTAGCATTTCAAATGTTTTTAAAACAAGACTTAATTCTCTTCATTCTTAAAGGTTCCAAATGCTTTTAAACACATTGTAGCCTATCAGAAGACAGATATATGAAAAATGTATATTCGTCCGCTTGTTAAATCTCTAATAAATTATTCCTTTTCCCTTCACTTTGCGTTATACCTGCTCTTTTTTTTTGGAGATGAGGTGTTTACCTCTAACAGAAACACAATACTGAATTATTTTACATGTTTATGCCTCAGAGCTTTAATGTCATATAGGGTGACCAGATGTCCCGATTTTATAGGGACAGTCCCGATTTTTGGGTCTTTTTCTTATATAGGCTCCTTTTACCCCCCCCACTCAGTCCCGATTTTTCACACTTGCTGTCTAGTCACCCTAATGTCAGAAGACACATTCCTAGGCTCCAGGGTGAATGATGTTTTCTTCCTGCCTTGAGGATATTGATGTGCTCCTGAAAGTAAAAATGGGGATAAGAATCAGTTTTAGTGAATCGGGAATTCTTGTTTTGCCTTGGAAACAGAACTGAACTAATGCCCTGGTATTGTGTTGGGGGCACAGTACCAGCAGAAATTTTTTTTTTCATTCAAATGAAAGTGAGTTGCGGCTGGTCGTTTATTCTTGGATTGAGAATTACACTGCTATGACCAATGTCAATAAAGTAGGGACCATATCTGCAAAAATATATGAATAGTATCAAGTCCAAAGAGGCCCAATCCTGATTGAGGCCTCTGGACATTACCATCAGATAAATACCAAACAATTATAATTTTAAACACTGCTACGCCAAGGGAACAATGTAGGCTAGCATTCTTACTCAATTATTGAAGCAGCAGTGCTATAAATCAATGCTTTTAGGCTATCTGAAAGTATGCGACACTAATTTTCAGAACTATAGCGAAGCCAAGCAGTTTTATATATTCTAAAATCATGTGGGAAAGACTATGTAAAGGTTCTTAATTGGCAGTGAAATACAAATATTTTGAGGAGCAATAAACCTTACCATCAAATCCAGAACTAGTGCTTTGTAAGGCAGATGGAAGGGGATATAGACCTCTCTCTTGTCCCCACTCCATTAGCAACAGGGGAAAGAAAGCTCACTCTTAGTACTTACTCATTACTATTTAACTAAACCTATGCAATACGTCTACGTTCTTTCTTCAGTGAAACCTGGTTTTATTATCATTTAAAACGCTTGAGTTTAAGAAACCCTACTTGTTATACACCTCTACCCCGATATAACGCGACCCAATATAACACGGGTTTGCATATAGCACGGTAACCCCAGGGCTCCAACAGCAGGGTTCAGGCGGTGCTTTAAAGGGCCTGGGGCTCCAGCTGCTGTGGGGAGCCCTGGGCCCTTTAAATCACCGCTGGCGCCCTGACGCTGCTACCCCCAGGGCTCTGGCAGTAGGGGTTGGCCGGCGATTTAAAGGGCCCGGGCTCCCTGCAGTGGCCGGAGCCCGGAGCTCTTTAAATCACCGCTGGAGCCCTGCCACCGCTATCCCGGGGCTCCGGCAGCGCTTTAAAGGGCTCGGAGCTCCGGCTGCTGTGGGGAGCCCCATGCTCTTTAAATCACTGTCGGAGCCCTGCCGCTGCTACCCCGATATAACGGGGTTTCACCTATAACGTGATAGGGATTTTTGGCTCCTGAGGACCGTGTTATATGGGGGTAGAGGTGTATTCTTTAATGCCTACGTTATAGAGGTGTGTATGTGGGGAGATTAAGATGACTTGCATCAAAACTTTTAACACAGCTTTAATAAAACCTTAAACAGCACACCAGCCAAATAATCATCATAATGCTCTTTATTTTGAGCACAGCTTATGGAGATGGAACACTAGCACAAGCTATGAACAGACATTTTAGAAAACTAACCTGTTGATATAAAAGAGCAGGGAGCTTTGATTTTTTTTTTTATAGTCTATCAAATAATTGTCTTTAGTACAACTAAGATGACTAAAACTAATAGACACACACTACACATGCTGAAAGGTGGCTTCCCCCCCCCCCCGACCATAAATAAAAAAGCTAGTTCCTGTATGTTGGTTTATTTCTGAAGTTTAGCAAGCAAACAAAATAATTGGTGGTTAATTGGGGTTGGTTAGTTATACTGTAGAGTTAAAGCCACATCACAAGTTAAGTTACTTAAATTTGCTAAAGAAAAGCAGAATAACCTACAGGAACAAGTGTTCAGGTACTCATTATATCAACTTCCCAAACTAGCTTTGACTCATCGTCCACACTTGAGAAGTAAGTGATGCACCTGCCATGCCTCCACGGTCCATGAGCAATGTCCCTCTCTTTCTACCCTTTTTCACTAACCAACTCACCGAAGCCATGGTGCTTCTCTTATGTGTAGGGTCTTTTAACACTTAAGCCTTGACTTCAACAGTTTGCTAAATTACTAAATTTTGAGAGCAGCCATGCTACAAAAACAACTCAGGTTACACAGAGTGATTTGATTAACAGCTCAGAGTTACAGCTGAAGACTGTAGCTGTGTCCCTACTGCATTATTAGCTCATGCTTCAGTAGTACTTCAGCATCTACCCACCGCCCATGGCAGACCATCTAGCTCGAATTTAAAACACCAGATAACTCAAGCTAGAGATTTGTGTATGTAGATGGGAGTTGGGTTAGAGGCAACTCTAGGTATACCTTGATCTAACACTGCAGTGAAGACAAGCCATTAGAGAAAATTTTCTTTTAAGAGTTTCTAGCTCATACATTTATAAACAAAAGCTTAAGTTTTGCAGACACTGTTTCAGCACATCTGATGGCTACTCATCAGTATCTGTAAATACCAGCTTAATCTTATCATACTTTCTAGTCTTGCCATATCCCCTCCCTATTTGGGAAAGAATTTTTACCTCCTGTGTATGATTTTAAAAGGATTAAATGCCTTGAGCTTTAACACCTTTTAAATTATCCCTTTTTAGCAAGGCATGGGAGGATGTTTCTCAGACAGTGTGTAAATATAAAATGTAAAGTTCATTCACGTTTAGTAACGAATGGCTTATAAAAATCACAACGCTTAAATTACACTTACTTCTTACTCAATACAATGTACATCATTTAGATATAGTTACCTATAACTAGTTTTCAAGCAGATGCCAGGTTATAACAGTAAAGCACTTGGCTAATTCTCAGAACAGATGTGCTTGAATAAAGTACGCCTGAAGGTTTCTGTTAAGATCTTCTAGCAAAAGAGTCCTTTATGCATTATCAGGAACTTGGGACATCAGAAAGTACATTTTCTATACAGCATAAATCTAAAACTTGGCCAGATTCTTGGGTATGATTTGATCATTCTGTGCCGCATTGAATCTGCCTGTAGAGCAAGTGTATCCAGTCCTCAGAAGATCACTTGAACCCACGGTAAGTCTAGTCATTTTCCTTGAAAAGCGAGCCTTGAAACTAATGCAAATGGATTGTTGTGGTTAAATGGAAAATGCATGCAGCTTGGCTGCACTTGTGCTGCAGAAGACTGCAGTTCTTAAAGAGCACTTCCACCCCAAGTCAGTTTATTTTTGTGGTAAATCCCAACGAATCATCTAGCTAAGTGTCCCTTGACTTTAAAGCTAGCCTCATGTGAAGTGTACGCTGATAGCACCTGAGGAGTAAGAGATCTCTAGTACCAAAGCAGATCTACTCTCTAAAGAATCAAAAAGAACACCTTCCTCAATTACCCATCCCACAGCTAGAGCTCACAAGAAAACACTGGCCATCACTACTGCTGTGAGAAATAGCTGCCGCTTAGAGAAGATTCTGAGATACTGTTGGGTGTAGAGGTACTGAGGTGGAGGGTGGATGATGGAAAGATTGAAGGGTTTGGCAGGGAAGATTACAGAATGGATTTTGGTGAGGACGGGTTAGGGAACAGGACTCTTTCCAGGGAATTGCTGACAGGCAAAAAAAATTGTAGCAGAGCTCCTTTTGTGGAGATATCACTGACTTTGGTGAATTTGTTCCTTCGTTTTCATTTTAATGGTGGGAGTGGTGTATTTTCCCCAAAAGAATTTCAGGAAAGGGTGGGGTAAGTAATTTCAGTACCGATAACACAAATGTTTAGAAAGATGTATGGGATTTCCCCCCCTTTTTTTTTTAAATCCATTCCTGGGTGGGAAGGGTGTTTTTTTCCCCCCCAAAACACATGTCTTTCAAGGAAACTCATGGTGTGCCTTACCTCCCACTGTTTTGTTTTTTAAGTACCTATTTGCAGTAGTTCATGTTACTAGTATTTTCATAGCAGCACACATTTAACAAACAAATTGCTCAGGTCATGCTTAGGCTTTTCCCTCTCTGGTGGCACTCTCCTCAGTTTCTGAAACTGGATCCAGTTTGGGTTTGTGTGACAGTGCACAAATGTTTATCCTAGCAATGGAGCTCTAGTAGTTTTCACCATGAAGAAAGCATGTCTCTGCTCCAGCTGCATTTATCTTAGTGATAGGATAAACTCCGGTCTCGTAGGGAGAAGACAGTGTGGCGACAGTAAACTAGGCAGGTCTGTAGAAGACAATATTGGTTGGTCCACCAGTACCACTTCCTGTCATACCTAGATATTCTTTGAAAGGGACTGAATTCCTTAATGAGTTGGATCGGGCATCCTTAGTCTGTCTAACTGACAGGATCACAGTACAAAGCAGGATGCAGTCAGGCTACTGAGCAGATGAAGTATAAAGCAACAAGCACACAGTTTACAATGTTTTAAAATCTCTCTGCTGTATTCCCTGACACACACATTGCTTCTACGTGTTCTGCCAAACAATCATCATTTCAGATTCCCAGGGAATCAATAGGATGGAAGCAAGATGGTGATACATAAGAAACAAATAAAACATATCCCCATTGAGCCCCTTTTCAAGTCTAAAGAATCAAGACAGGGCCCATTGCTCAGCAAATGGTTTGAATTTGAAAACAAAGTTTAAAAAAAACATTTTTCACATGTCTTTGATTTATTGTGGTGTTTAAAAACAAACAA